GATCCTAATGACCAAGAGGAGGATGGCGCCAACATTGACCTGGACTCACAGAGGAAGGGCAAGTGTGCAGTCATCAAAACCTCCACGCGACAGGTGAAGCCAGCACAGCAGTGGTGCAGGGGGAGGTAGGGAAGGGCAGAAGAGGTGTGAGGACAGCTGCTGAGGGCACTCACCCCTGGGACCTTCCCCCACAGACTTACTTCCTGCCAGTGATTGGTTTGGTGGACGCCGAAAAGCTGAAGCCCGGAGACCTGGTGGTGAGTGGCGCTAGAGTCTGGGCTGGGCCCCAGCAGTGAGGGTTCTCACACCAGCCAGCTGAACCCTAGTCCCGACCCCCTGCTGCCCCCTCCTGCCCGCTCCCATCCCAGCCTCTTCCCCAGTTTCTGCCCCTGCTTCAGTCCCAGGCCCCTGTCAGCTCTGGATGTTGGCAGAGCAGGCAGCCCAGCAAGCCTGGGAGACAGCGATGGCTTGATTCTCATGCTGCCCAGTGCTGGAGCTTTCCTTTCACTCTGCAGATACACCCCCCACACACCATGAGCTAGGGCTTGGGACCCCCTGCAGACGTTATGCTGTGCCCTCAGGGTGTGAACAAAGACTCCTACCTGATCCTGGAGACGCTGCCCACAGAATACGACTCGCGGGTGAAGGCCATGGAGGTGGACGAGAGACCCACAGAGCAGTACAGTGACATTGGGGGCCTGGACAAGCAGATCCAGGAGGTGTGGGCTCGGTGGGGGCCGTTCACCTGTCGGGATCCCACCTCCTTACTAGCCCTGTTATTCTCAACCTCTGTCCTGGGAAGGAAAGGAAGGGTGCCAGGCAGGGAAGCAGATGTGGACAGCTTGATCGGCCCGTGCAGGGCCAGACTGGGACTGGAATTTAGGCCTTCTACAACTATTGGCCAGGCCATAGACAGCCTTGGTGGCAAGGAACATTCATGTCCCCTTTGGGCAGGGGCTGGCAAGGGACACTCTAAGTCAGAGGGGGAGGGTACAGTAGTGGGTGGGCTGTGGGAACCATTGCAGTGTCACTGTGCTCACTCAGGCTTCTCCCCTGTAGCTGGTCGAGGCCATAGTCCTGCCCATGAACCACAAGGAGAAGTTTGAGAACTTGGGGATCCAGCCTCCCAAGGGGGTGCTGATGTACGGACCCCCGGGGACTGGGAAGACATTGCTGGCCCGGGCCTGTGCTGCTCAGACCAAGGTGAGGCATTTGGGAGAGTTGGGCTGGGTGGGCAGGCTCCAGGGGCCTTGCATTGCCCCCAGCCTGACCCCTCCCCCCACCTCACTGCCTCCCCCAGGCCACCTTCCTCAAGCTGGCTGGGCCCCAGCTGGTGCAGATGTTCATCGGGGATGGTGCCAAGCTGGTCCGGGATGCCTTTGCCCTGGCCAAGGAGAAAGCTCCGTCCATCATCTTCATCGACGAGCTGGATGCCATTGGCACCAAGCGGTGAGGGAGCCGTGGCCCCAGGGTGGCCTCGGTGGCTGTGAGTAGGGGTGGCTTTTCCCTGTGCTGGATCCCAGCTCCCTGCCTGGGCCTGTCCTCCCTGGCCTCCTGCATCCCTGACCATCCGCTTGCTTACGAGCTGCCGTTGTATACCTTTGAGGGCGCAGGTCTGGCGGCCTCCATCCTGTGTCCCCGCAGGCCTCTGGGGGCTCCACCCACAGTGCTCCTTAGGGTAAAGGCTTTCTTTGCTGTGCCACCGCCTTCCCCACCTGCCAGGCTGTCGGTTCTCATCCAGGCTATACCTCTGCCAGGGTCCTCCGCATTAGACCATGTGTCCTGGGATCCCCGCTGTGGGCTCCTGTGCCTGCTCCACACACACGCTGTTCTTACTGGACAGCCTGGGTTGGGCTTCGGCGGCAGCACGGGGGCAGACTCAGCCCCCAGTGGGGCTCAGCCGTGACTCCACCTGTTGTGTGCCCCAGCTTTGACAGCGAGAAGGCGGGGGACCGAGAGGTGCAGAGGACGATGCTGGAGCTCCTGAACCAGCTGGACGGCTTCCAGCCCAACACCCAAGTGAAGGTGAGCGGCAGCCCTCCTGGAAGGAAGAGGAGAGAGAGGGACCCTGTGTCTGGCTCTGCCCTCTGCAGCTCTCTGCCCGCGCCCGGGCCGCCCTCGGCCTCTGATGTCCGTGGCTGAGCCTGTTGGTGAGCACCTGCTCAGTTCAGGGAGCTACTTCTCTTCCTCAGGTGATTGCAGCCACCAACAGGGTGGACATCCTGGACCCCGCCCTGTTGCGCTCTGGCCGCCTAGACCGCAAGATCGAGTTCCCAATGCCCAATGAGGAGGCCCGTGCCAGAATCATGCAGATCCATTCCCGGAAGATGAACGTCAGGTGAGCAGGGCCAGAATGGCCAGCAGGGCGTACCCTGGCTCTCCTCTCCAAGCTGTCTTCCAGCCTTGGCCAGGCCCCACCACAGTGCACCTGTCTGAGGGAGTGGGGCCTCACGCCTGGGTGTCCAGCTCCATTGGATTCCTGCCCACTGTGACAGGGCCAGAGGTGCTGTCTGCCAGGGGTGAGCATGCCCAGCATGGCTGGGGACTGTCCAGGCAGGGTCTGGCGTGCCAGGATCAGACCCGCACTGCCTTCAGCCAGAGGTCTGACAGCTCGAAGCAGTGCAACATGTTTTGGGGACAGTAATGGTGGCAGTGGCACCACCATGCCTCTGCTGAGCTGCTGTGAGACCAGCTTTGGTCTCTGCCACCACTGCTGCCTCGCCACAGACCCAGGGTGGGGAGAGGGAGAAACAGAGACAAATCTTCCATCTGCTGGTTTGCTTCCCAAATGGCTGCAGGGCCAGAGCTAAGCCTGGCCCTGGGAGGACTGGGAGGACATCTGTCCGTTGCATGCCTTTCATTATGCACGTGCTTCCTTTCCCCAGCCCTGACGTCAACTACGAGGAGCTGGCCCGCTGCACTGATGACTTCAATGGCGCCCAGTGCAAGGCCGTGTGTGTGGAGGCGGTGAGTGGGCAGGCGGGTGGGCGGATGGGTGCCTAGGGCTCCTGCCCTGGAGATGAGGGAGCTGGGAAAAGCCAGAGCGGCGGTGGGGGCCAGCCCTCAGCCTGTGTGTGCTGGCTGCAGGGGATGATCGCGCTGCGCCGGGGGGCCACGGAGCTCACGCATGAGGACTACATGGAGGGCATCCTGGAGGTACAGGCCAAGAAGAAAGCCAACCTGCAGTACTACGCCTAGTGGGGCCTCGTCGCCCGGCTCTGCTGTTGGCACAGTTCACAATAAAAGATGGTTTCGGGTCCCTGGCACCTGTCTGCATCACTTTTTCTGGGTTCTTGGAGGGGGCAGTACCCGTGGGAGGCCCCTTGCCCTGCCACAGCAGTTGTCGGAGTCGCAGCTGCTAGGGTCCTTGAGCCCTGCTCTCCCTCCACCCCCGCGGCTCCAGTCTGCTCTCCTGCAAAGCCAGGCTTTGGGTCTTGCCTCCCTGACATTTGTCACAGTGTGCCAGCTGCGGGACCTCCCCTGGGTCCACACTCCCGATTCTTCTGTGTCGTCCTCCAGGGCCCTTTCTCTGCTGCGTTGTCTTGTGCTGTTTGCTCCCACCCTACATCTGTCCTAATTTGTCCTGAATCAGCGAGGCTCGCCATCCAGGGAACAGGGCTAATGACCATCAGTAGGGCATCCACATTAGGTGTTCTAAACAACTCCACCCTGAGGCTGAGGGGCAAGGCAGCCCCACAGCCACACCCTCTGCCCAATTTCCTGAACCCCTACATGGCCTTTCAGAGTGGCCCCTCGTCAGCTCTACTGCTCAAGAGAGCCCCACCTTTTCCCTTGTCAAGCAGATGTGACCACCATGCGTTCCCCATGGAGGACCATCCCCTTCCCAGCCCTCAGGAGCACCTTGGCCCTGCCTGGGGTGTCACACTCCAACCAGGCGCCTAGCACCCAAGGCAGTGCTTCTGGCCCCAGCCCCTCCTGGCCTGGGTGGGCGTTCCTACTGCCTCCTCCATTCCCCTTCTGACCACACAGTGAGTCTACAGGTGTGTCCTCTTTAGCTGTAACGCAGGGCTTCCCCACAGCCAGGAGCCCTGAGGGCCTGTGTAGGCCAGCCTGGGCTGGTGGAGACCAATCTGTCAGACCCATCCTCCTGCGGGGGGCTTCAGCCCCTTGGGATCTCTGTGTCCCTCAAGCCTTTATGAATGCTTGTCAGGGAGCCAGATAACCCACCTGGTGAGGATGTCACTGGTTAGGGCTTGCTGCCCACCTAGGCTGGACCCCATGACACCCCCCAGCCAGCTAATGAAGGCTGCTTCCCTTGGTGTGGACAGGAGTGGGGGCCTGGACTCTGGACAGCACTGGTGGGGAAGCAGCGCCCCCTGGTGCCTAATGTTGACAGAGGAACTGCCTTTCTTGTTCTTTCTGCTTTTCTTCCATCCTCCTTTGCCTTCCCCCACCTTTTTTTTTTTTTTAAGATTTATCATTTTTATTGGAAAGTCAGATTCACAAAGGAAAGGAGATATACAGGAATATCCTGCATCCTCTGGTTCACTCCCCAAGTGGCCACAGTGGCCAGAGCTGAGCTGATCCAAAGCCAGGAGCTTCTTCTAGGTCTCCCAAGAGGGTGCAGGGTCCCAAGGCTTTGGGCCGTCTCCCACTGCTTTGCCAGGCCACAAGCAGGTTGCTGGGTGGAAAGCGGGGCTGCTGGGATATGAGCCAGTGCTCATCGGATCCTAGCACACGCAAGGTGAGCACTTTAGCCATTAGGCTACTGCGCTGGGCCCTTTCCCTTTTTACATGAACAATAATCACTGCATTGAGGCCAAAGCTGACTTTCCTTTCTTGATTAAGTTATCAAGCCTCTTGGGAAGAAGTCCTGCCAGTTAAGTCTTGAGAACAACCCCCTAGAGTGCTGGGAGGTGCACTGGCACTGTGGCAGACTGGGCAGTGCCCAGCTGCTCTCAGGACTATAGGCTAGCACCAAGGGCCAGGCACCCAAGGGTTCCAAGGCACGCTGCAGGGCAATGGAGGAGCCCGTGTGAGGATAGCATTTATTTATTTATATCTCATCCATAGAACACATATTTACAAACAGAAGTGGAGCCACCGCAGACCCTTACTTGTTCAGACAGCGCGGGCCAGCACAGGGCCAGAGCCCGGCTGCGGGGCAGGCCAGCTGAGCCTGGGCGTCAGCCAAGGGTACGCTGGGGATTATGGCTCGGCATTCTCCCGGGGCGCATTCCTGAGCGCTGAGCACACGGGGCCCTCACCACCACTCCCCCTTCCCCCAGCCCAGGGGCCCTAGTGGGCAGGGTAGCTGCGGGTCACACCCTTCCAGCTCCCAGGGCGTCTGCTGGACCTTGGGTTGGCAGGAGCATCGCTGAGCTGGACTGGGAGGGCAGCCTTTCGGGCTTGGAGCTGCTCACAGCCCTGTAGGCTGCTGTTTGGCAGCTCGCGGTGGCAGGAGCTGCTGGCACTGCCGGAGAGTGCTCACTGGGGATTTGGGAGCTGGCCGGGGTGGGCAGCCCTGAGGAGACGGCCTTGGAAAGCATCTGTTGCTGGGTGCGGGTAGGGCTGGGGCCCGTAGTGTGCGGAGGCGTGGGGTGGGGGGCCCACCAGCAGCCCCCTGCCTCTCCTTTCTTTGGCTGTGCAGGTGCTGAGGAAGGGCCAGCAGAAGGGGGCTGCTCAGGTAAAGGTCCCAGCAGGAGGCAGGGCAGCCTCGGGGGTCCCCTGTAGCCCTGAGCAACTCAGGGCCACTCTCTTTCCTTCTGGGGTCCTGGCAGGGCATGGCCCCTGTGGAGCACAATGCTGCAGTTCCTTGCTGTTCCCTGTGGGGTGACAGGGTGGCAAGGAGAGAAGGCCCCGGCGCGGCAGGAGGCACGTGCTGCCCTGGGTCCCAGGGCACAAGGCCCCAGGGATCACAGTGTTGGTCTCACACACGTGCACACCCCCACACCCCTCCCGCTGTTCGCGCCCCGCGCTCACACACACTTGTCAGAGTGAATCGGAGTCTCTTATTGCTGGGCAGGGCGGGGCGTCGGGGAAGGCTACTCTACGAAGAGCGAGAAGAGCACCATCACCACGATGCCCGAGCAGAGCAGGAGCACCTGCTGCAGGGAGTGCCTGCGGAAAGAAGGGCACGTCATGGGCGGGTGTGCTGGCCGTGCCAGGCCCACAGGGCTGCAGCCAGGCCAGGGCCACTCACCACGGGTCGTCTTCCTCCAGGAGGTCGGGCAGCACATTCACCAGGGCGATGTAGAGAAAGCCCCCCGAGGTGAAGGGCAGGATCCAGGCCACGGTCTCCTCTGCGGTGGGCGGAGGGTGCCAAGGGGCTGTGAGCCCAGGGCCCCAGGCATGCCCCCGCCCCCAGCCTGCCGCCACCGCAGCCCACTGAGCCCCGTACCTACGCCCTTGGGGGACTGTGTACAGATAGCGAAGCAGGCACCCAGCAGGCCCCCCAGTGCTGTGGACAGCTGCAGCTTGGCTGCACTCCAGCGGTCAAAGCCGGCCCGGAGCAGGATGGCAAAGTCGCCCACCTAAGGGGAGGTATGGAAGCTCACCACGGGCCGGCTGGGCCACAGCCCCACCCCACCCTGCCCCTGCCACCCTGGGTTGCTCACCTCGTGGGGAATCTCATGCAGGAGGATGGCCATGGTGGTCAGGAGCCCAATCTGCAGGGGTGGGAGGGGGAGGGGAGCCTCAGTCTGGGGCCATGGCGACAGATGCATGCACGCACTCAAAACCTGCTCCAGCCCACCTCTGGACTACTGGCCGACACGGCCTGCGCCCGCTCTGCGTTCTGTCCTGGGGGAGCCATGGGGAATCGTGCAACCCACAGGATGGGGAGGTGCGTACCACCAGGCGGCAGTGACAGGGACCCAGTTGAGATGTAGGGTTCATAATGTGCCCTGGGGGAAGTTAGGCCAAGCCTGAAGGTAGGGACACCACAGGCAGGGGGACAGTGTGAAGTGACAGAGGGCTCAGCTGGCCAAGCACCAGCAGATGCCTGGGACCGGGACACCACAGGCAGAGGAGGGCAAAGGGGAAGCAGGGGTCAAGCCCAGCAGCTGGACAAGGATGCTGGGAACACAAACAGGTGCAGTGTGGTCCCAGGATGAAGGGGAGCAGCAGAGAGGGTCAGGCGGGCAGGTGGCACCAATGTGCCAGGGTAGGGGCCTCCCCCGCCAACTCTCCACTCACCTTCTTGCTCACCAGGAAGCTGGCAGCCACGGCAAGCCCGTGAGTGAAGTTGTCTATAGTGTTGGCTAGCAGGTTGAGGTAGCCGCTGACCTGGGCAGGGGTGGGGTAGTGTTGGGGGGAGAACTGGGCTGAGTGGTATGGTTGGGGTGGGGGGCACCGAGGTTTGCGTGTCAACAGTGTCCTGAACTGGTCACTCACTTTGACGCTCCGAAGCACAGCTCGCAGGCCAGGCTGCACAGCTGGCTGGGCTGGGCACTGGCCTCCATTGAGTGTAGCGGCAGTGGCAGTGGGGTCTTTACTGGGGCCCTGGAGATAGGGGGGCAGGACAAGGAGGGAAAGGTGACATTCAGTGCTGCCCCCTGCCCCTCAGCTAGGGTTGCCACAGGAGAGCAGAGAGGAGTCCCTGGAGTCCCCAGCTAGGCCTGGCTGCTGCTCCATCAACGCCTGCCCCCAAACTCTGAACTCCGGCTGCTGCGCCATTAGAGCCACGGCAGGCACACGTCACCAGTCCCCAGGCCCTCCCAGAGAAGTTGGTCTCCGCCTCCCACAGCCCCCAGGCAAAAGGATGGAGACCCAAGCCCTGCCCGCAGGCCCACCTGGCCACTCCCTTCCTTCCTGCTGTCCAGGAACATCTTCTCCAGTGCCAGGAAGGTCAAGAAGCCGGCGATGACCCACAGTCCCAGCTGCTGCTGCTGCTGCAGGCTCTGCCCCTCGCCACCTGCAGGGGCAGCACTGACAGGGCCAGGCCGAGCCAGGGCCGAGGGAGGGGCCGTTTGCAATGGGGCCTGGTCCAGGGCTGGGAAGGGGCAGGGGCATGGCTGGCTGGGCATTGGGCTGGGGTGAAGGGGGCCAGGACCCCCAGAGGAGCTGGGGTGCCGCTGGGACCAGGATGATGATTCCCCCTCCTCCTAGGCAAGCTCCCTGCCAGCTGCCCAGCATCCCTGTGGCAGGTAGCTGGAGGGTCCAGGTTAGCTCAGGACCCTGGACACCAACTTCACCTGTGTGGCCCTCTTGCCCCCGTGGACCTGTAGCTTCACTCACCAGGGCTGGTGCTGCAGATGTAGGCCCAGGATTCAGGCAGCAGGTGCAGGAAGACATTGCCCAAGAGGCCCCCCAAGGCGAAGCTGAGCAGCTGCTTCAGGCGCCGAGCCCCAGCTGCAAGGCAGAGACGCCCGTGCTCTGACGCTCCCACCCCCGCCTCCCCCATGCTCACCCAGCTCACCGGCTGGTTCCATCTCTCAGCCAGCCTGGCAAACCCCTGGGAGGCTGGATGGGGGCAGCCACCCTCCCCGTTTCCCTAGCACCCCCGGGCCCAGCAAGAGGCAGGAATGTTTGATGTGTGGGGTGAAGCTGCCACTGCATCACAGCTAAGAGCTCTCACACGAAGTGTCCTCATCTACAGAGGGGATCTTGCAAGAGTTAAGTGGCAAGGTGTACTCCCAAATGCCCTTGAAATGGGCAGTTTTCCGGGTCACCACTCCCTGCAAAGTGGTGGGGATGTTGAGAGTTCCAGTGTCCAGGGCTGCAAGTGCCCCGAGGGAGTCCCAACCCATGCCTTGGTTTGGCAGAACAATGGACAGAGGCTTGGCAGCTGGAAGCAGCTGGTGGGGGCCATGGGATGTCAGCAGAACGGGGCTATCCCAGGCTGGGGGACCTTGGGCTGGGCAAGGACCCTCTCTTGCCTCTTGCTTTCTGAGTAATCCAAGTGTGCCCTTTGCTAACCATTCAGAGCTACCCCCAGGGAGGGAATGAACCAGCAGGCTGCTGGGCCCCAGGTCCCCCTGAAGGGTCCATGCCCAGCCCCCTCCCTGCCCCAGGCAGTCTGTGTTATGAAGCTTTACACTATGAGGAGGAAGTTAGTTTAGTAGTCTTCCCAAGGGTACCCACGGGACACATACCAGTCACGGTTAGCCCCCTCTTTTAAGATAGGAGACAGAACCAAGTAAAGGAATTTATCTGATGCTACTGGGCTGGTAAGTGGCAGGTGGCACTTGAGCCCCAGGGAGCCCGGCACGTGTATTTCCAAGCCACCAACTGCATGGTGGTGGCTGGTGACTACCAACAGCCAGAGTGAGGGCAGTGCAGAAGAACCCGTCCTGCCAGCCCCTGGGGTCCAAGGTGAGCAGTGGCACCCATGGACGTCAGGGGCAGGGCACCCACCTTCTGATCGGAGCAAGGTACCCATCTCCAGGGGGATGATGAGTAGCGGGAAGACCCCACTGAGCCCCACCAGCAGGGAGCCCAGGAGCGAGCAGACCCAGGTGTCTAGTCTTTCGGTCGCCAGCAGGGCCCCCCAAGACTCGCTCTCATTGTTGTCCAGGCGACAGGCTGCGGCGGCTGCCCGGCTCCGCAGGCCCGGCTGGCTGCCCGCAGCATCTCCCAGCAGCTGCAGAGCAAGGGTGGTGAGGAAGAGGAGCCTTCGGCCCGCCATGCTGCAGCCAGGACAGGAATAGCCGCGCATGCCACGTGCTGAAAAACACAGAGGCCACCCACCTGATTAGGCCACGTGGCATACCCCCTTCCCTCCCCCAACTCTACCCCTCCCCAAACTGGCCTCCTACTTCCTGCCAGCCTTGCCCAGGACCCCCACAGTGGGTGTGCCAGGCACAGGCGTCCTGCTCCGGCACACGCCAGTTCCCAAGGAGCAGACGTTGGCCAGTCGCTGGCTGCATGTGTGTCGGCGTGTCTGCTGGAAGCTACCCTTTTCCCAAAAGACAGGGTGAGGCTCTGGCCAGGTGCCCTTCAGTGCCCAGCTGGGTATGTCTGGCTGCCAGGCAGGGCCCAGGGGAGGGGGGGTGGAGGCCACCCCAGGCAGGGATGGGGCAGCACTGGGAAGCCCGGGGTGGGAAGGACCCTTGCAGCCCAATGTCCTCGAGGCACAGAGAAAGACGGCAGGTGAGGCAAACAAGCAGGCTGTTGAGCAAGAAGATGTTCACAGGACACAAGTTTTAAAGAACTGCAGGGCACTTCCCCATGGCCAGGTACAGCAGCCCTGCCACCTCTCCTCTCTGCCTTGGCATCCTCGTCCCGGGCCGGGGGGTGAAGATGGGGTGGGCGAGAAGGCAGGCAGAATGGCCAGAGTGGGTGGGGGGCTCTGGCAGGGCACACAGACAGCCCCTCCTTCTGCCGCAGGGGAGTCCAGCACCGCCGGCAGGAATGTGTCCAGCGGCAAATCTCAGGGGGATCACAGGATGTGGCAGTGCGTGACTCAACTGAGCCAGAAGTTCAATCTGGAACTTCAGGCCCGCGGTCTGAACGCTGTCCTGCCTCATGACCTTGAGCTGGTGCTGTCCCTGCCTCAGTTTCTTCAGCAGCTTGGCGAGGGCAGAGGGAGAAAAAAAAAAAAAGAAAAAAGGCCGCTACTTCTGGACAGTGGATGAGGTGCCCAGGCCTAGGGGCAAGTCCAGGCCTTCAAAGTGTCCCGAAGGAGCGGGTGGGGACCCCCTCACCTGAGGGGGGACCTGAGGCAGCGCTGGGCCGGGGGACCCCAAATTTGGCAGAGGTGGAGAAAGTCAGCTGGAGGGGGTCAGCGCGGGAGCCGGGCGGGTAGGCAGAGATGGGCAGCCCAGAGTGGGCGGCAAGGGCGAAGTAAACTCCTGGGCTCTGCGAAACAGGGGCCCGGCCGGGTGATGCGAACCGGGGCAGCTCGGGGTGGTGGCGGCCGGGGGCGACGCGGCGGGCGGTGCCGCGGGGTCCGCGCTCACTCACCGTGCGGCGGCGGCGGCGGCGGCGTGGCTCCAGGCGGCCCCGGCCATCCAGCTGCGGCGCCGCGCCCCGCCCCGGGCCAGCCCCGCCCGGCCGCCCGGCCCGGAGCCGCCCCCCGGCGCGGCCACGTCACACGGGGCCGGGCCCGGAACCCGTCGCTGCCGCCGCCGCCGCCGCTGCTGCTGCTGCTGCTGCTGCTGTAGCCGCCGCCCTCCGCGGGGGCCCCCGGGGCTGAGGGGGAACGGCGGCCCAGGGCGCTTCCGCCTCGCCTCCTGGGGTTGGGGGGACCCGAACGGACAGCGCACTTCCGCTCGGGGCGGCTAGCTGTGGCGGACGGAAGTGAGGTTCCCCCGACGGAGGCCGCGCCCCGGCGGGGACGACGACCGGGCCCGGGCGACTGGACTTGGTCGGTCGAACGGCCAGGGCTGCAGTCCCGCCCGCGGCCGCACGGGGGCGCGCCAGGCTGCCGGACGGACCAGCCCCGCTAGTGGCCCGAGCGAAGCGGCCGTCTCGGGGCTCCGATGGGGCGGCCGCGGGGTGCTCCTCCTCTGAGTCAGCTCAGCCTGGCTCCTCCAAGAACCCGGGAAAGGGGAAGTGCCCGCCGCAGGGAGGGGCCTGGCCCCCGGGAACCTCAAAAGAGGGAATTTTATTCTTACTCATCGAATTATTTTTATGCTTTGGTTTTTCACTGGGAACCTCAGGCCACGGTCACCAGGGCTTTTGTAACCCTTTGGGGTCCAGTGCCTGGTGACCGGACAGAGCCCGGGCGGGGACGGGCAGGGCAGCAAAGGGCTTGTGCCTGGCCTCCTCCGCACTCCATACCTACTGTGTGCCCTTCACTCTGTCTGCAGTACCTGGGTGGGTCCTCATTTTGTCCTCTGAGGAGGGAGGGACCAGGGCCGGAGGGGTCAGGAGCTTTGGGTCCTTGCTTACTTGTGAGTACAATGGAGCGCGACGTCATCAGTGCCCCCCCACACACACACTATGGCAGGCCCCCCTGGCTCCCTGGCACCCTGTCACTTCTCCCTCTATTGGTCTTTTAATTTTATTTATGGGAAAGGTGAATCAGATTTACAGACAGGAGGGATAGAGATGTTCCATTCACCGGTTCACGCCCCAAATGGCGGCAATGACTGGAGCTGCAGCCAGGAGCCGAAAGCCTTCTGCAGGTCTCCCATGTGGATACAAGCTCCTCTATTACTTTCCCAGGCCACAAGCAGGGAGCTGGATGGGAAGTGGAACAGCCAGTACATGAACTGGCACCTCTATGGGATGCTGGCACTTGCAGGTGGAATTTTAACCTATTGAGCTGGACTCAAACCACCTTCTAGTCTTAGAACCCCAGCTACTGGTGGGCAGAAAGAGCTGTGTGTCCCCCCAAAAACTCACCCCAAGCAGGCCCACAGATCGGTCAGGACACCTGGCTGTCCCTATATCTACCCTGGCAACGAATTCTAAGATGGAAGGCCCAAGTCTGTTTGTCCCCAAGGGGAGGAAGACACTCAGAAAATCTGCTGCCCCAGGAATTCTCCAACTGCCCCCCTCCACGTATGCAAATGACCCCACTGTATGCAAAACACTTCACAATATGCAAATGATTTCACAATTACCAAGTCAGTATTTTGGCCTCTGAGGGTTGAGGGCTTTGGCCAGGGGATGGACAGTGCGGGGCCAGAAAAGCCCCCTCCTGCCCACTCCCCCCTGAGCTGGAACTTCCACAGTGAGACTCAGCTGAGCTTGGAGTCCTGGGGCAGTGAGTGGGACAGTGGGGGCCAGAGGCTGGGGTAGACCAGGAGACCAGGTAAAGGAGGCCAGGGTACCTGAGATGGGATTGTGTTTCAGCACAGTGGGTGGTGGGAGTTTGCAGCGGTTGTTACACAGTTTATAAAGAACCAGAAGGAAGGTGTGTGTAACTCTCCCTGCAAAGGAATGATCCATGCTGGGGCCTCCGTTGTGGCAGAGTGGGTTAAGTTGCCAGCTGGGGCACCAGCAGCATCCCATAGGAGCACTGATTTGAGTCTTGGCTCCTCCACTTTTTTTTTTTTAATTAGAACCGGCACCCATATGGTACCCTGGTGCATTCTTTTTTAAAGTCAGATATACAGAGAGAAGAGAGAGAGAGGAAGATCTTCTGTCCGATGATTCACTCCACAAGTGAGCGCAACGGCCGATGCTATGTCGATCCGAAGCTGGGAACCAGGAACCTCTTCCAGGTCTCCCACGTGGGTGCAGGGTCCCAAGGCTTTGGGCTGTCCTCGACTGCTTTCCCAGGCCACAAGCAGGGAGCTGGATGGGAAGTGAAGCTGCCGGGATTAGAACTGGCACCCATATGGGTTCCTGGTGCGCTCAAAGCGAGGACTTTAGTTGCTAGGCCACAGCGCTGGGCCCAGCTGCTCCACTTGTGATCAGACTCCCTGCTAACATACCTGGAAAAGCAGCAGAGGATGATTCAAGTACTTGGGCCCTGTGCCCATGTAGGAGAGACCCAGATGGAGTTCCTGGCTTCTGGCTTTGGCCTGGTCCAGCCAGCCGTTTGGGGAGTGAATCAGGATGGAAGCTCTCTCTCTTTCTCTCTTCCTCCTTCCTCTGTGTAGCTCTGCCTTTCAAATAAATCTTTCCATAAAAAAGAAGTGTTGAAGGAAACGGGTGTACCGACCCCTAGATTTGATCAGTACACATGGTATACCTGTGTCAGATGCTTACGCTCGCCCCGTAAATATGTGCAATCAAAAACCCTTCAAATTGGATCTGCCAGGGGCTTCCACGCGCAGTGGTAAGAGAACTGAGATGTGGAAATATTTCATATGATCTACTACTTTGACATAATGACAAAAAGAAACTTTGTAAAGGTGTTTGCGGTTACTAAGTAATGGAGTGTATAAGTCTGTGTATTATGGATAAGTATAAATATGGAAGATCACACATCAGAGTGATATGGTGGGGACAACTAACAAGGAGGGGGAGGACGAAGCGCAAAAGGGAAAGAACACATGAAAACCTCCCATGGGGGCCCGACGCGGTGGCCTAGTGGCTCAAGTCTTCACGAATGCGCCGGGATCCCACATGGACGCTGGTTCTAATCCCAGCAGCCCTGCTTCCCATCCAACTCCCTACTTGTGGCCTGGGAAAGCAGTCGAGGACGGCCCAAAGCCTTGGGACCCTGCACTCGCATGGGAGACCTGGAAGAGGTTCCTGGGTCCTGGCTTCAGATAGGTGCAGCACCAGCTGTTGCAGTCACTTGGGGAGTCAATCAGCAGACATAAGATCTTCCTCTCTGGCTCTCCTCCTCTCTGTATACTTGACTTTGCAATGAGAATGAATAAATCTTAAAACAACAAAAACAAACCCTCCCATGGGGGCCGACGTTGGTGCCATTGTCAAGTCACAGCTCGTGATGTTGGCTTGGTTAGCGTCCCAGTCCCACCTCTGGTCCAGCTTCTTGCGATGTGCAGGGAGGCAGCCGGTGATGGCTCAAGTACTCCCTGGCACCTGTGGGAGACTTGGATGAAGTTATGAAATCCCAGGCTTCTGGCTTCAGCCTGACCCAGCCCTGGCTGTCACAGCCATTTGAGGGGTGAGCTAGAAGGTGGGTCTCTCCACCTCTCTGTATATCGGACTTGCCAATAAAAATAAAACTTAAAAAAAAAGAAGCACTAAAAACAAGACATAGAAGATGGAATTGAAATTCGTGTCAAATCCTAGGCATTCTGGGACGTCAGACAAATGGATCTACAGCTCTCCAGGGTGGAGCCAGGCAGGTCGCGGTCCACCTTGGCTGGCCAGTCCCGGCCCCGGCAGCCCAAGGCCCCCTCACCAATGAATTGATGTGTCGGAAATCACTCACCTGTGCTTATCATGGAGCAAAGAGTGTGTGGTCCCACTGAATGTCTTTTTCTTTGTTGGATTTATTTTGTTTATTTGAATGGGAGAGTGACAGGAGCAAGGAAGAGAGAGAGAGAATTGATCTTGCATGCACTGGTTCACCCCACTGCTGGCCATGACAGGGACTGGGCCAGGCTGAAGCCAGGAGCCAGGAACTCCATCTGAATGGCAGGGGCTCAGATTCTTGGGCCATCACCTGCAGCCCTCCTAGGCACATTAGCAGGCGCTGGGTCAGAAGCTGCACAGCATTACAAGGGATGTCTTAGTCTGCTAGCCCACAGTGCTTATATCCTCGCTTTAAATCTTTATCTGTTCTGTAATATTTTTTTATTCCCATATATCCACATATATGGATAATGTAATATCTACTTCCCCGGGTCTGGTGCTGTGGGGTAGCAGGTAAAACCACCACTTTGAGACACCAACGTCCCATATGGATGCTGGTTCGAATCCTGGCTGCTCCACTTCCCATCCAGTTCCCTGCTTGTGGACTGGGAAAGCAATGGCGGATGGCCTATGTCCTTGAGTCCCTGTATATATGTGGGACACCTGGAATGAGATCCTGGCTCCTAGCTTTGGGTTGTTCCAGCTGCAGCCATTGAAGCCATCTTGGGAGTAAACCAGCAGCCCTGTTTCCAGCATGGTCCCTTCTTGCCTGCAACACGTGGGCACCGGTGAGACGGTGCAAGCTTAAACACACAGCTCCATGAAGGTCCACTTGGTCAACTCCATGTCTGCTTGCCTCCTCTTCGGGTGCAGCAGGGGCAGGGGGTGGCAGTCTTGTGCAGCATGCACTGGCACCCAACCTTAAGGGGCTCTTCTTCTTTATTATTATTTTTTAATTATTATTTTAGATGATGCTCACACAATTGATCAGAGTGGGGAGGATCTAGGGTTAGGAAAAAGTGGGTGTGAACATTGTTTCTAAACTTTCTATTTCTGTGGGGAGGGGGGAGATATAGGAAGAAGAAGCCTCCCAACCACCCCAGTACCCAGGGATGGGGAGTAGCTAGCCGATATCAACCCAGGGTCCCGATGTGACGGAAGTGCCAAGGCTTCTGCCCACGTGGATGCGATAGTTCTGAAATACTGTCAATCTCACCTATCTACAGAATTAGGAAATTCTTCCAATGTCCATTGGCTGACATAGTTGA